ATTATTTTGTTCTAGGTTTCTTAGGAACACTGTCCTTCCTTTTTCTCTTTTTTGAGGGAGAAAAAATAAAAGTCAAACTTATCTGGTAGTGTTCCCTTAAAAAAATTTTTAAGATTTTAACTTAAAACAAGAGATGGGGTCTCACATGATGACCAGGCTGGTCTCAAACTCCTGGCCTCAAGCAGTCCTCCCATCTCCTAGCCTGTAATCCCAGCACTCTGGTCTCCTAAAGTGCTGGGATTACAGGCATGAACTGCATAACTGGCCAAAAATTTTTTTTTGAAATACAGAAATTAGCCAGGCATGGTGGCACATGACTGCAGTCCCAGCTACTCTGGAGGCTGATGTAGGAGGCTCAGTTGCGCCTCTGGAGAAGCTGGGACTACAGTTGGAGGAGGAGAGCCAAGGTCACACCACTGTATTCCAGCCTGGGTGGGAGTGAGACCCTGCCTTAAAAAAAAAAAAAGAATAGAGATAAACAAACCTAATTCACTCATTTTAGTATTTCCATTTGTTTTGTATGTCGAATCTGCAAGAGAGATAGCAAGAGAATGATTAGGGCTGAAAAGGAAATGCATCATATGGTTCCTTATCACAGGTTCATCAACGAAGCCTTAGTAGATCTTCACCACTGAAATACTTAAAAGGATATCTATCGAAATAAATCAACGTAATTCGTAGAATGAGAAGCGACAGAAACCTAATGTAAAGACAAATACATTTCCTTTTTAGTCCCCATGATAAAGCATCTTTAAGAGCCAAAAAACAATGAAAATGAAGTAGAAGTAGACCACTTGGAGTGACCTTACTAGTTTTCTTCATAGTCATAAAATCAATTTCAGGCAATACTTTTTAAAGTTTTCGGAAAAAAAAAGAAAAATAAGGTAACAGAGGGAGGGACATTTTGTAGTCCTGTGCCACAGAGCTCCATCTTAAATTTTTTGTTGGCAGTATACCGGAAGAATAAAGTCCCTGACCATAGTTTAAAATCATCGCAGCTAACAGAAAGAATCATAGCAACATATAAGAAACAATCTCTTTAAAAAATATGGAAGCCCTGTATATATGAATATAGAAATATATCTCTCTCTCTGTATGTTAAATAAACATAAAAACAAACAAGAAAGTGCAGAAAAGTAAGCCAGGTGCTGTGGCTCATGCCTGCAATCCCAGCACCTTGGGACGCCAAGGTGGGTGGATCGCTTACACAGGTGTTGAGATCAGCCCAGGTAATGTGGCAAAACCCATCTCTACAAAAAATACAAAAGTTAGCCAGGCGTGGTGGTGCATGCATAGTCCCAGCTACTTGGTGAGCTGCAACAGGAGGACTGCTTGAGCTGAAGAGGTTGAGGCTGGTGTCAGCCCTGGTTACACCACTGCACTCCAGCCTGGATGAAGAGTGAGACCTCGTCTCAAATTGGGGGAAAAAAAAAAAGACAGAAATGAGAGTTTAGTAAGCCAAAATTTGTGTTACAAAAAAGGCAAGATAATTTTCTCCATGAATTTCTGTAAATCTCCAAAAAAATGGAAACTGACAACATGGGTTGCTTTTGATGAAGAGAGACTGGCTGGCTGAAGGACAGAAGGCAGGGAGAGTTTTTAATGTATATTTATAGTAACTTCTGAGTTCTGAACCATATGAATACATGTACAACCATATTTAAAAATAAACTTATGTTTATAAAAAAGGTAAGCCAACAGACAAAACAATCTCTTACCAAATCTTGGGTTTCTTAGAGGGGGTCGACATAAGCTGATTATAAGATCTTCACTCAGCACTAATATAAGAAGAAAAAACATTTAAAAATATATAAAATGTGAAACACATTAGCTTTATTATATGATCATCCCTTATTTAGTCAACAAAGGTTTATAGAGCTTTTATTCATGCTAGAGAATTAGAGACAAGTTTTCTTCCCTTTTCTTTACTTTTTTCTTTTCTTTTCTTTTTTTTTTTTGTGGATGGAGAAAAAAAAGCCTGTTACCCAGGTTACAGTGCAGTGGCACCGTCTTGGCTCACCACAACCTCCGCCTTGCGGTTTTCAAGTGATCCTCCTGTCTCAGCTTCCTGAGTAGCTGGGATTATAGGTGTCTGCCACCATACCCAGCTAATTTTTGTATTTTTAGTAGAGACAGGGTTTCACCATGTTGGCCAGATTGGTTTTGAACTCTTGACCTCATGATCCACCCGCCTTGGCCTCCCAAATTGCTGGGATTGCAGGCATGAGCCACCGTGCCTGGCCAAGAAACAAGTTTTCTAAGTGAAAACTTCTGTGAACTAGTGACAATAGTGAACTAGAGACAAGTTTCCTGCCATATAAAATGTATAGCCTTGATGAAGAAATTCGCAATTTTTGTCATCAAACAGTATCTGTAGGAAAGGAAAGAAATACTAAATAAAATTATTGTAAATGGCTCAATTAAGAACCAAAATCTGTATTATAGCACAATTCAATTACCTGTTCCATTTGTGACTGATCCTCATTGTGGATTACTTGTGGAATATTTTAATTTTAGGGTTAATATCCTGAGACTTAATACACTCATTCTAACTCTTTAACCTTGTGTTGAGGAAATGCAAATTAATTTTAAATAAAGACGTTAACGTGGGCCAGGGTTCAATTCAAACTGTCTATAGTTCAATAGCATACTGGTTAGTGGAGAAGCCGATTCTACTAAAATGTTAATTTTAGTCTAGAAAACCACCTATAAAGATATGTTTTCTCCAAGTACTTCACACAACATATTCTAAAACCAAACACATATCAAAATTTGGATTGTATTATGTTTTGTTTCACGTATCCGTATAAGAAAGCATTACGTCTTAGCTCTGAGTTACAAAGCCACATTCTGGAACTTCGATGATCCCCTTAAATATTCCAGCTCTAAGATTCTGTGAAATATCTATCTCAGTTAGTATTTCACATATCAAGTATTTAGAACTTATATCAATATCTTTAAAAATAAATCTTGCCAGCCTGGGCAATATAGGGAGACCCTGTCTTTACATAAAATACAAAATTAACCAGGCATAGTGGTGTGCGCCTGTAGTCCCAGCTACTACTTGGGAAGTGAAGGCAGGAGGATAGCTCGAGCCAGGAGTTTGTGGCTCCAGCCTGGGTGACAGTGAGACCCTGTCTCTTTAAAACAAAAATAAAATCCCTTGCACACGTGATAATAAAGGCAAATTTTAGTTTCTGTTACTCCACATATGACAACTACCTTTCTCTTTTTCTTCCCTATATTCTAGCCTTTTCAGGTTTAATTAAAACCTAAAACTCAAAATCTACTTTTGGCTTGTTTACTTTTACTAAGCTATGTTTAATCAAACTTACTCTATAGACATCAATTACTACTTCAGATTCCATCTTTTCATTTAAGAAGCATTTCCTGTATGTGCTACTATATACATAGCCCTATGTAAAGTACTTGAAAGACACACAGTACCAGAGAGAGGTATGAGAGAATAAAATATAAAGGACCCTTCTTTGGTAGGAGCCTCCCTCACTTGTCTGCTTTTGTTCACCACTGCACCCTCAACATCAAAGCACAGAGACTGGCACAAAGCAGGTGCTCAATAAATATCTGGAGAATGAACAAATGCTCTAACTACAGCAGCTAGAGAAGCAAATGGTCACGATAAAATAGTAAGCATTTAAAAACAATTATCTATGATTATTTAGCTAGAAGCCACACTGGTAGAACAAAAATACCCATTTAACTTTAGGAAAAGTAAATATGATTTGTCCTAATATATTTTTAGATTATAAAATTAGTTTCATAATTTCCAGAAAGGAATGAATCTGGCCATAGAGGAATAACTGTATATAGGTATATATGACCTGAATTGATTAAACAATCTAATGGCTATTTTAATGTGAAAACAACTCAATTATGTCAAACAAAAAGATTTCAAACTATATTCCTGTTCTGAACTAATCAACATTTTTCAAGTTTTCCAATAACATGATGACCAAATTATGTGGATATTTTTAGTATACTGCTTTATAAGGTGGTCCTTTGGTTTAGTCTATATATATATATTTTTTTTACATGGAGTCTTGCTCCATCGCCCAAGCTGGAGTGCAGTGGCATAATCTCAGCTCACTGCAACTTCTGACTCCCAGGTTCAAGTGATTCTCCTGCCTCAGCCTCCCGAGTAGCTGGAATTACAGGTGCCTGTTGTATTTTTAGTACAGACAGGGTTTCACTATATTGACCAGGCTGCTCTCGAACTCCTGACCTCATGATCCGCCCACTTTGGCCCCGAAGTGCTAGGATTACAGGTGTGAGCCACCGTGCCTGGCCTAGGTCTTTATTCTTAAGGGTATCCTTGCATAATTTTCTCTCAGACCACGCTGGTAGCCTTATATGCAATTACAGCAATATTTTGAATAGCAAAGTTAAACCACACATCTATCATTCTATGAGGAAGAAGGGCTTATCCTTACCTTAAACTTGTACTTAAAGCAGTCCTCCATCAAAGAGTGACTCCATTTAAATAATTTCTCTTAGACTTTATAAGCGTTTAATAATTCCCTAAACTCTCCTTTCATTAAGAGGCACGGGGAGGGAACATGCCAAGTATTAGATGTAGTACAAAAGCACCTTTTAGAGGAAGAAACCCCTGAGTATCTCAAACCTCTCAAAGACAGACATACCCTTATATCTAGTGATACTGAATGTGCAGTGTGCTATTGATACAGTCCCAAAATCTATGTATAGATTCCATTCAAACTGTCATTTATATTGGTAAACTTTTTTTTTTTTTTTTGACAGAGTCTCGCTCTGTTGTTCAGGCTGGAGTGCAGTGGCACGATCTCTGCTCACTGTAGTCTCTGCCTCCCAGGTTCAAGCGATTCCCCTGCTTCAGCGTGCTGAGCAGCTGGGACTACAGGTGCATGCCACCACGCCCAGCTAAATTTTTTTGTATTTTTTAGTAGAGATGGGGTTTCGCCATGTTAGCCAGGATGGCCTCGATCTCCTGACCTCATAATCCGCCCGCCTTGGCCTCCCAAAGTGCTGGGATTACAGGTGTGAACCACCGTAATGGCTATAAACATTTTAAATTTCCATTTATAGCATAAGCTTCCTTAGAAAAAGGACACATTTAAGCAAAATTGTATGAACTTCACATTTCTTGTAAAGTGCTATGAGAAAAGAAAACCCTCACTTGTATGTTTCACTGGGTACAAAGTGATTTCAAGTGTATTATCTCATTTCTCCAGTGGCCCTGTGACTTATGCAGGGCAAATAACACAGATAAAGGCCTAAGGCTCAAGGTGGGTGAATAACTTCACCGAGGTCCAGGGCTTTTCCCAGAACCTTATGCAGACATGATGTCCTCTGTTAACAGTCCTTAAATATGAGCCTAATATAAACTCCAAAAAGACTATTCCAGGCATTCTAGTACATAATAGTTTTATAATGGTCTGGAGGCTGGCACTCAGTAGTCTTCATTACACCAATTTACTTAACTTCATACATTGTATAAATTACTCTAGATTTAAAATTTGAAATATTTTTGCTTTCCCAGGTATACAATAAAATCTACTATAAATAAATTTAAGATTATGGTTTTCCAAAATGGCCCAGAAAACCTGATTACAGCATCATCGTTCAAAGCATTTTTCTAAGACAGTTTATAATCTTCACACAGTAACATAGACTATTCAAGGACTATAGGATAGGCCGGGTGCAGTGGCTGACACCTATAAACTCAGCACTTTGGGAGGTCAAGGTGGGTGGATCACCTGAGGTCAAGAGTTCAAGACCAGCCTGGCCAACACGGTGAAACCCCATCTCTATTAAAAATACAAAAATTAGCCAGATATGGTGGCAGGCACCTGTAACCTCAGCTACTTGGGAGACTGAAGCAGTACAATCATTGGAAGCCGGGAGGTGGAGATTGCAGTGAGTGGAGATGGTGCCACTGCACTCCAGTCTGGGCAACAGAGCAAGACTTTGTCTCAAAAAAAAAAGAAAAAAAATTTAGCACAAAGGTATGTTTATTTGAAACTGAACTTGAACCAGACATATTTATTCTAAATTCAGAATAGAATGGTTCACATTATAAGGCATAATCTTATTAGAAGCAACAGATAAATAAGTCAGGATCTGGGTACTAAAAACCAGGGATGATCAATTTTAATAGCTATGATCATTTATTATTGTGAGACTTTCCTAACATCAAAAAAAGCAAATTGAAAATTAAATGGAACTAAAACCCAAAGCATTAACAACTTAACTGGACTTAATCCTTTCTCCAGCTTTTTAAAATATTTTAAATAACTTTTAAAACTTAAGTAAACTATTAAATGTAGCCTACTTCCATGTTACGTTGATTCTAAGACAAGTTTTTTACACCCTTTAACATCCCAACATCTCTGAAATTGGGATGCGTCATATAATTATGGCACATTACCATAAATTACTAAAAAATTGGCAGCATTTTCCCCTGCTAGATGGTACATAAAATGATGATGATGTTTTAAATCAAAGATGGCATCTTAGATTTGACAAATCACAGTATTAAACTGAAAAGACTGAATACATTGTGTCAAGATTTTACCAAGAAAAGACTTAATCCATTTTAAACAGAGGGCAGTACGACTCATTCATTCATTTGATACTTAACAAACTTCACTAAGCAGCTCGTTATGACATGAGAGAATGACAGTGAGCCACTTGTGGGAGAATGAAAGGGCTCTGGAGAAAACAAATCTGGGTTTGAATATGGGGTTCTGTCATATGTGCGATCTTAGAGAACTGTCTTAGCTTCTCTGAGCTTCAGTTTTCTCTTCTATGAAGTTGGTATAATATTTATCTTACAAGGTTATATGGGTGGCTGCTCCTCTGAGTACTCTGCCTTTGTCTTTTCTTTACACATACTTACATTGCTTAATTCGATGAACATTTAAAAAGCTGGCAGGTAAGGAGAAAAACAAAAAGTTAACTATTCTTACCTGGAGCCTCCTGTGTGCTCCTGACAGTTTTCTTTGAGATCGTTTGGCTTAAATCACTTTGGGAAGATGATTCGTCCTCTAAAAAAACAGACGTAACAAGAGTTAAAATTCAGAACATGACCTGGGAGATCATGGCACAGATTATGGGTTTTTGTAACAATAACATAAGCAAAAGTGCAAGGAAATTCACTTCTTTAGAAACAGGTAGTTAGGTTTACCAAACTTAGGAATTAAACTAGTCAGAATTCCTCTTGAGATAGAATACAACTAATTCATCAGAACATAAAAATATTTGCATTGTTGTTTTACAAAAATATATGACTTCGGAAAAGTAAAAAGATGGAGTAGAGAGTCACAAATGGTGTGGAAGAAAGCAGAAGAGTGAAAAATGTTTAAAGATTTTTATTAAATCCTTAAAGATTTAATAAAATAGGGGTAAATTCTTTACTTGTAAAAAAGAAAAAAAAAGTTAGCCTATATAACTGCACTAGGCTCTGTGGAACTTAATACAATGTAACATATTTATTGCCCACCACGTGCAAAGCATTCTTCCAAGTACTGAAAGATACTGGATTAAACTAAGTACTTAAATTACTATCAACTATATATAATAGGCTCCTTGTCTGCAAAAACTTCATAATCTTAAAAGAGATAAAACTAACACATATATGGGCTATACTGTCTTGAGCTGCTACACCCAAAAGTAACTGACGTTAACTTTAACATAAAGTTTCCAAAATCAAGTCTTCAAATCTGTCAGTACCTTCACGAGTCAGCAGGAGAACCTGCAGCCTATCACCGTGCTCTAAGCTGCAAACCCACTCTTCCTCAAATCAATAGTCTACCACAAACTGTGTCATCCCATGGTGATTCAGATCCGCTGATTTTTACCTCACAGGTACCTTACCGTGGGACTAACATGAAACTTCATCTGTGACTCAGTGTTAGGTTCCAGAATGGGGAGGGGAGGGCAGGGTGGGAGAGGAATAGGTTAAGGAAACTGATCGGCCTATGACTTACCTAACGCTGTACCTTCACTTTGTCAGCATCCCTTTTGCCCATTTGGATGCAAACGCTAATGAATGGTCTTGTTTTTCAGGTTGCTTTGTCAGCCTGATCTGCTACACTACTTTAGGTTACAGGGACGGTCACCAAAGAGGCAAATTTTTAGCAGGGACCACCACACTGGAGAAAGAGCAATCAGCTCAAGTTTATCAGACACTGGGGCACATCAGTGCAGGATAAATGAGTTACCCCATTTCGGGGTAAGCATTGGGTGAGGTCTCAAGTCAACTCACTAAACCCGGGAACCCCTCGAAATGCCCATTCACAAAATCTCTCCTCCTTCTCTCCCCATCTGGGTGGGGAGGGAAGACTGGAAGGGTAGATCCTCAGCGGGGGGCACTGGCCTGTGAGCTTTAAAGAAGGAAATGGAAGTGGTTTCGGTAGAAACATCCGCAGGGTAGACGGAACCGAAATGAAACCAACCCTGGAGTAATTCGCTGTCCCCTGGTGAAGGCCTGCAGAAAAAGGCAGCCCAGACTCCCCTAAATTGATGCCCGATGTGGGCAGGGCGCCCCAGCCCTGCTTGGGTCGCTCCGCACGACCGTCTTTCCACTCCTTGGCTTGGCGCTTCCTTCCCGCTAGCGGGTCAGGATGGACCCTGCACGGGGGCACACGTCCAGAGGGGGCCGAGGAGCCCCCAATACCCAGTACCCAATCCCAGCACTGAGTACCCAGGAGTGGGTGAGATCCACCGAGGCGCGCGCCCGCCCCTGCGCGTTCCCTAGCTCGCGGCTGGGACTGTTACCTCCGCCGTCCTCACCTTCAGAGGAATGAGAGTCCCGCAGCCCTCTCCTAGTCGTAGCGGGAGACGGCTGTAGCGGAGACTGCTCTGAGTGCTGCTGCTGAACGCGGGTAGCCCTTCGCGTCTTCATCTCCTCAGCTTCCTGGGATCGCGGCTGCCTCCGCTGCCTAGACCGAAGGTAGTACGCGCTTTCTCTCACTTCCTCTTTCGCAGAATCGGGCCGGAACTCTTCTAGCCGGATTCGTTTTCCCACCGGGGACCTTTCTTTGGCCACCCGGGGCTCGAAGTCACCGTACACTTCTGGCGGCTCCTCAGAAAACCTCACTTCCCGCCGGCCCTGGCGCGACAGAGAAGTTGCGTACGCAGGCGCATCGCTGCTGCCGCCATTTTGAGGGGCGAGCCGGCCCCTTCCTTCTCGGATGGGGGCCCTGGGGGTGACGTACATACCCCATCCTTCCCGCACCGCCTCCGCCCGCCGCCCCTCCCCCGCCATAGTTGTTGACGTAGCTTGAGTTGATCGCGAAGATGGCTTTAATGGACCTTAGGTTCTCCTGCCGGTGGTGGCGATGGCTTCTCGGGGGTGTTAGGCGGTGGTCGCTGTGGTCAGGGAGGCAGTTGAGTGTCGCCGGGGCCGCCACCTGCGTCGTCACTGCTGTGTAGCAAACCTGCCTCTGGGCCCATGGTGTGTCTTGAGGGCTGTGGGAGAGGCAGTGCCAGAGCTGGGTCAGCTGCTGTGGGTCGCTCCCGCCTCCTGGCTGGAGGCACCAAAGAGGAGGAGAAGGGGGAGGAGGGACGTCTCTGCCATCGGCCTTAAGGGAGGGGTGGGGGCGACAGAAGGGTGGCAAGGCAAATTGCCTGTCCTAAGTCCAGCCGCTCGTGGCAAGTGTTGCCTGCACGCAGGGAGGCTCCGGAAAAACGAGTGAGACGAGGATGGAGAAGACCAAGTTGCGCTTCTCGGCCCCAGGCTGTTGCGCAGTTCCCCTGGAATCTTTTTGATCGACTGTTACGTTGGCCATGTCCTTCCCAGTGTCCCTAGCAGGAGTGATGGCCAGAGAATAACTTTCGCACATGTCATGTTTTCGTGGCAGAAATTTTAGTTTCAAGTTCCTTATGAAGGCGGTTACCGAGTTTTAAATTTTGTCACCTGTTGAGAGTGCAAAATCCCATCTACAGTCATAGTCGTTGGAAACATTTTCTTTTCTGAAATATACCCGTAGGAAACATAACCTGATTCCGGTTCTTTAATATTTCTTGGTTTTATACCAAGAGAAGCACTTGCTCGGAAGACCATGTTAGCGCTACATTATGCACAGTGAGAAGCGAACAAGTTTTTTGATTAAAGACAGCACTGTAATTTTAAGTTGTGATCCATTACTTTTATTCTGGATATGACGTGATGCTCTACATTTGATTTAGCATGTTTTCTGGACTTTATGGAATAAGACAGCATGATAAAAGCTATTTGTTTCACCTTCATATACCATGTTTACAGATGTGGCTAATCTTCAAATACCTAACCAAATTTAGACACACTCAGGGAAGGTCGATTAAGTTCGTGTAAAGTCTGAGTAATTATTGAAAGAAAACTTACTTCAAAAAATAAAAATAAAAAGGCCGGGCGTGGTAGCTCGTGCCTGTAATCCCAGCACTTTGGGAGGCCAAGGCGTGTGGATCACCTGAGGTCAGGATTTCGAGACCAGCCTGGCCAACATGGTGAAATCCCGCCTTAAAAGGAAAAGCTTAAATTGCTTTCACATGTACAATTTCTTGTAGGACTTTGTATGATTGATTAGAGCGAATATATTTTAAAAATTGTAATTTGGATACCAGTTACAATGAGTGATTCTGAACAATATGAAGGTGTTTGTTTATTCTTCCAAGCAATCTTAAAATGTTTCTGAGCAACTAATTTGTTGCTCAAACTTGGCACAAATTTCAACTACTGAAGTCGTAATCTGTACTATGCTTTTACTAATATTGTCCATAAATTTGGCCACAGGCACGAGGAGTTACAGCTTTAGAGTGAGATAGGGTTTGGCCTGTTAGGAGCTTAGTTTACTGTAGGTTTATTAAACAATATAGCTTTTAAAAAACTGCAGGAACAGTAACAAGAAAGACCTTGCCCTCTCTCCCTCCCTCCCTGCCTCCCTTCCTCCCTGCCTCCCTGCCTCCCTTCCGCCCTTTCTTCTCTCTTTCTTTTTCTTGTCTTTTAAGGAAACGTGAAAAGGATACTCTCTTTTGTCAGCGTGGATTAGATGCTATATTTTGGAAATTTGCTAGATTTACTCTTTTCCAGCAAAATCCTGAAAAATAGTGATATCGTAATATGTGGCTTTATGTTTTAAGTAGTGCTTTCTCTTTAAAGTGGCTATTACATGACTCATTAGTAACACAATAGTAAACGTTCCTTAATAGATTTACTTATTAAATGTAAATTTTATAGTAATATATTGAGTTCATGTTATGAACATTAAAGCCTCCTTGAAACATTTTACAAAGGTGACTGTAGAAACTGGGATACTAGCTTATAAAACTTGGATACAGGCTTGTAAAACTTGGGTTTGAGGGACAAATTAAAAAGGAAACGAGAGTCTACTAATTCAAGTTGAATTAGAAGTTGAAAGATTCTACATATTACTGAATAATCAGAATATGCATATTTTGTAATTAAAACTGCTTATAAAGGCTTAGGAATGTCCTTTCAACTAAATTAACGAGACACTTATTGTAAAATTAGAGGCATGGTAACTTTAATGCTAATATATTTATGTGTATATATATATATGTGTGTGTGTGTGTATATATATATACATATATGTATATATAGGCATAGGATTTTCCCTCTTTTGTCGAGGTTGTAAGCATGTAGAAACATACCTCTACTGTGATTGCCTCCTTCCCCTAGAAACTGTGCGGATACCAAACTTTCATCACTGTGAAGCAAAGCTAAACTGTTGACAAACTAGATATTCTGCTGTAGCTATTATCCAGTCTGTAAGAGTGGCTCAAAACAGGTGACATTACAGTGACAGTAGACCACCTTGGTCTCCGAAAGTGCTTGGATTACAGGTATGAGCCATTGAGCTCAGCCAAAACCAATTCTTCTAAGTGAAACATTTTAAAACAATAAATTTTTGTATAGGAACTTTTTGTTTAGGGTAAGTAGAAATTCAGTTAAAGAGCAAGCATCTATCCATTGTGACTTAGTAGTAGAAATGAAATAGGCAACATTGTTATTTTTAATAAGGAAAAGATGATTAAAATATTAAATAGGAAGTTAATTAAAGACATAGTAGCTGGCTCCATTTATTCCTCATTCTTACAAGTGATTGGAAAAAATATTTTAATAATACAAATGAAAATATCTAGCTGGAAATGTTACACTGAAATTAAACACAAAGTGAATGGAATATAGTATTCTACTTTGTTGAATTAGAAATTGCAGTTAATTATTAAACAGCATCGAGTATTACCAAATCCTGTCACTTCTGCCAAAAGAAGATGATTGAGAAATGAAGGCATCAAAGTCATATTACATGAGGAATTATTAATTCAATAAATACTTGAGGTACTATGTAGTAGGCAGTCCCTGTTCTCTGTGCTGGGGATACAGCAGTGAACAAAATAGACTAAAAGACAAAAAACGTTTTCTGCCTTCTTAGAGATTATATTCTATGGGAGGAGTCAAGCAAAAATCAAAATAAGTAAAATAGTGTGTTGGTCAGGACTGTTACAGAAAAAAAATGAGGAAAGGGGAAGGGAGTTTTACATGAGTAGATTTCTTCTGTGTTGTCTTGAATTGGCGTGGGTCAGGAGCAAGAGTTTTAGACTTCGATTTTGCCCCCAACCAATTGTATGTTCTTGGGTAAGTTGCTCACCATCTCTTAATTTTCACATTTATAAAATTAACAGATAGCTTTTTGTTGTTACTATCATTTAGCAGACATACTACATACGTCATCTGATTTACTCATAACAATCTTATGAGGTAAACAACGTCCCCATTTGACACTCGGGCAAACAGATTTAGATTAGGCAACTCTTTTGAGGACATGCTCCTCTTAATGGCACAGAGGGTGAGTTCCAGGACACGGTGCTTGCCCTTACCATTCGGTACTAGTTATGACTGTGTTGGTCCTGAGTTAGGTCATATGGGTCAGGGTGGTCAGACGTCTTGCAGAGATTCCTGCAATCCTGTCATATAGCTTGAGAACTCGGGGACCTCTGCAGGTTGGTTGCACACATTTACCGTGCCTATCGCTGGGTAAGAGGACCTGTAGGTAGAGGGCGAAGGATGGAGAAGGCGGCAGAAGGCAGGGCACAGAGACTACTACTCCCAGCATTCCACGGGCTCCTTCCCGCGGAAAGTGTCTCTCATATGGGCGGGGACACTGGACGACATTCGGGCCGCGGCGGCCGCTGGGTGCAGCCGGGCGGTGTGGAGTGGAAAGAGCACTCGAAGGGCTCCCCTGATACTAACAGTTCTACGATTTAAAACTCCGCCGGAATTTGTAAGTAAACAAAATGACTATACAACTTTTCCATGTTTTAGTATTGGAACTGATATGCTGAATTTTTCAAAAGGGCTTTCAGAAACGGCCCCTCCCCACCCCCACCTCCCCACTGCCCAAACGATATTTTTATTTATATTGTTTTTGAGACCGGTACTTGCCCTGTCACCCAGGCTAGAATACGGTGTCGCGATCATAGCTCACTGCAGCTCCGTACTCCTGGGCTCAAGCGATCCTCCCGCCTCAGCCTCCCGAATAGCTGGGACTACAGGCCCGCAACGCCATGCCCCGCTAATTACTTTATTTTTTATTTTTGTAGAGACAGGATCTCACTATATTGCCCAGGCTGGTCTCGAATGCCTGGCTTCAAGTGATCCTCCCGCCTCCGTCTCCCAAAGTGCTGGGATTACAGGCTTGAGCCACCACACCTGGCCTCACTCGAACAGTAAACGAGGTAGGTTGGGGTTATATTTTCGTTTTGGGATAAAAAGAAACAGAATCTTATAAATATTAAACGGGTTAAGATGTGAGTAAATTTTTAGCTTTAAACTTTAAGATGAGAAGCAGAATTATTTTAGGGTTCGAAATGTAAGTGGGAAACTTCCCTGCTAGTGCAGGCGGCGGTTACTCCATGCCCGGCAGGCCTAGGTTCTCAGCATTCATCATCCTAATCCTGAAAAGATAGTAATTAAAAAAAAACATGGTGCTAAAAAGGGCAAACTTGTAGTTTTATTAAGACCTCCTACCATTTTTCTTATATATTATATATGTACCATACTCTCAGTTGTATTTCATACCGGATAAAAAAGTTTGCACCTTTTCCTTCTTTTAACAAAGTTCTTAGTACTCTCTACTTTATGAGTAATGCTTCATTATCAGACTTGATACTGTTACACAGATCCAGAAATGAGTTACACAGATTAAACATACTGGTTTTGTTTTACCTGTCTTTAGGTTTTAAAACATTTTATTTTGGATCTGTATGAAAGATCTTTTCTTTGTTTTAAGCTGTGGCAGCTATCCATGTTTTTTGAGTTTTATTTTTTCAGCCCAAGATGAGTATAAAGGGGCCAGTGGAAACATTTAATAAAAAAAAAAAGAACTCTAAGTACAGTATAGATGTTCTTGGAAGCCTTTGTGCGGATTAGAACAGTTTGAAAAACCAACATTCGCTGTGAGAACTGAGTGCCTGTCTTCAGTAATGTTTATTATGCTGAACGTGCAGTCCACAACTTGATTACCTGTTTTTCTGCAGGTTTGTGACGTAACCTTGGGTGACTCATTTAAGCACTATTTTATCTAGTTTCTTTCTAATGTAGAGGTAATGTTAGCTTGAGAACTTCAATAATTCACAAAGAAATTAACTTCAGAATTTAGCTAATTATTTGAGGATTATTGGGTATTTTAATAATGTGTTGTATCTTGTATATAACTTATTTTTGCCTAGTCATTTCTGTATTCCATTCATCTCCATGAACACAGACGTCAAAACTGTATTCCAGGAAAATCCACACTTCTTTGAAGGGCTACTTGAATTTACCGAAAGAAAGTTTGCTTCAAGAAGCCTTGTCTACTTTCTCACTTTGAGGTTGTTCACTAAGCCAACTGTGAAGGCACATTAACCTGTAGGTTCTACAACCTGCAAAAAAAATTGAAAGAATGAAGAATTGGCTGTTTTTGTTTACCATTTAGAATTTTAATTGTGTTAAAATTTCATTAATATTTCTGCATCATATGAACTACTGGGTTAAACTGTGTCCCACAAGGAGGAATTCAGTAGGTGATCATACATTATCATAAATTTTGCACAGAAATAAAGCATTTGGGAATAAAAAAGGGCATCCCTAACATCAATAATGAGCGTAGACTTTGGAGTCATAGCTGGGTTTGAATTCCTGTGTTGCCACTGTGTGGGCTATTTTCCTCTTTGCTAATATTTAAAGGAGTTGGCACATGATTTTTTTTTTTTTTTTTTTTTTTTTTTTTTTTCTTGGTTTTTTTTTTTTTTTTTTTTTTTTTTTGGTGCCATGGTCAGTTATGATCTGTGCACATAATTTTGGTAATTGAAATTTCTGGGAAGAAAATTTATCTGTAATTCCACTACCTCAACAAATCATATTGTTTTGGTTTTTAGAGATTTTCCTTCAGCCCTTGACCATGGGTATATATCATGTAAATAAATGTAATGACATTTTTGCAAAAAGTCAAATTTTAAAACACTGGTTTCTTCTGGGGTTTTGTTTTAATTACATAAAGGAAGCTGCCTGGTTTTGCCTTTAATAGTTCAAATAGGCCAGGTGTTACGGCTCACTCCTGTAATCCCAGCACTTTGGGAGGCTGAGGTGGGTGGATCACTTGAGGTCAGAATTTGAGATCAGCCTGGCCAACGTGGTGAAACTCCGTCTCTACTAAAAATACAAAAAAGTTAGCTGGGCATGGTGGCGGGGGCCTGTACTCCCAGCTTCTCAGCAGGTTTGAGATACAAGAATCGTTTGAACCTGGGAGGTGGAGGTTGCAGTGAGCCGAGATAGCACCATTGCACTCCAGTCTGTACAACAGAGGGAGACTCTGTCTCAAAAACAAAACAAAAAAACAAAGAAAACCAAGGGCAGAGAAGGGGAGAGAGAGGAAAAAAAAAACACCACCAAGTCAGAAGCTGGAGGAGTCATTTAGGCCTAGGCAGTCTGACCTTGGAGGATAGTTCTATGCTGGGTTCTATATTGGTAGATTTGCTTTATGGATGTTAGGTCCTATTTATAGGCAGGACTTGATCCTGGAGGCTTACTTGTAAGTTCTTTGTATAAAAGTAACATTATTTACAGTTTTTGTCTGTTTGTTTCTTGAGACAGGATCTCTCTCTTACCCAGGCTGGAGTGCGGTGGCACAGTCACAGCTCAATGCAGCCTTGACCTCCCAGTCTCAAGTGATCCTCCCACCTCAGCCTTCCAAGTAGCTGGGACTACAGGCACACACCCCATACTTGACTAATTTTTGTATTATTTTATGTAGCCAAGGTCTCGATGTGTTGCCTAGTGCCTAGGCTCTTCTCTGAACCCTTGGGCTCAAGCAGTCCTCCCCTGCCTCAGCCTCCCAAAGGGCTGGGATTATAGGCATGAGACATTGTACCTGACCACAGTATTTTTTAAAGTACTGTATAGAGGTACTTTATAACTACTTTTTTTTTTTTGAGACAAGGGCTTGCTCTGTCACCCAGGCTGGAGTATAGTGGCACTATCAATGCAAACTTGAGCTCCTGAGCTCAAGTGATCCTCCCACGTCGGTCTCCCAGGTTAACTGAGACTACAGGCACACACTGCCACACCCAGCTACTTTTTGTATTTTTGTAAAGATAGGGTGTTACTGTGTTGCCCAGGCTGGTCTCAAACTCCTGGCCTGGAGTCATCCTCCCACCTTGGCCTCTCAGAGGGCTGGGATTAAAGGCATGAGCCACTACGCCTGCCTTATCCCTCCCCCACCCCACTTTTAACTATTTTGACCACTAGATTTTTAACAAATTTTGCAGGAAAATAAAGATTAAGGAAATGTTTAGTTCCTTAAGAGATGAGGCCATTCACCTATAGTTTTATTAGTTGTAGTAAAAATATAACTTATACATAAGGCAAATTATAAGGTTTAAGCTTTCCTTGTTTAAAATTAAAAATACAAGATTTATAATGAAAGAAAACTAACTTTAAACCAATGGTCCTTAAACTTTATAGTGAACACCAGAGTCATCTGGCAAATCTGTGAAAGCAAATTCCTGCAGGAGTCTCAGAGATTCTGGTCTAGGTTGGGGCCTGAATTTGTGCTTTTAGCAAGCTCCTAGGTAACGTTAATGATTCCCAGCTAATGAATTTAATATAGTGAGGAAACAAACACTTGTTGTCCGCCTGTCTGGCTTAATAGTTCTATCCCAGTAGCACTGAGCATCCACATCTTGGCTTTTAAAGGAACTGGGACTTTTTAGAGAAGTGGCCGATTTCAGTGCTGGGGGCAGAGAAAATCCGAGATAAGCCTAAAACATCTTGTGGTGCTTGAAAGTAAGGAAATGCTAAAAAAAAAAGAGACCTTGTCGAAAGGACCCAAGAAGCAAGTTGAAGGAGTTCCTAGTATCCAAGTTGGAACAATTTGAGCAATAAAATGAATAATGATAGTATTGGACTTTAACCCATACAATAAAATGAGTTCATACTGATATTGCTAAATAAATAAATAAGTGTGGGGGGGAGGGACAACTGTAATTAATAAACATTTATATTTATTATTAATTCCAGTTAATAAACATAGATGGGAAGAAGGAAATACAAAACCACTGTTAGGGAAACAGTACCAAAGTAGTTGTTGCAGACAAAATCCAGTTAGAGGAAAATCAGAATATTAACATAGTCTCTAAGTATCTCTCCCAGGATAATTATTAACTACAAAGAAAAAATAGTGATCTGACAGTGGAGATACTATGTTTACAAAGTGACCAAGGTTAACATCACCAGTAATAAGACAAGGACATCATGAACCCAAAGATAAGCAGTGAGAAGGACACAGCAGCATTTCTGTGGTATTTGCTGTTCTTGCCAAAAATGCATAACCTTTTTATCTTTCTAATCACGATAAAATATTATAAAAACCTAAACCGAGGAACATCCTACAAAATAACTGGCCAGGCCGGGTGCAGAGGCTCATGCCTATAATCCCAGCACTTTGGGAATCCAGGGCAAGAGGGTTGATTGAGCCCAGGAGTTTGAGACCAGCCTAGGCAACGTAGCAAGACCACATCTCTATTTTTTAAAATTAAAAACAAAAAACACCAAACCCCAAATAACTGACCAGTATTCTTCAAAAGTGCCAAGGTCACAAAGACATGAAAGGGTCACAAAAGACATGTAAAGACCGAGGAACTCTCATAGACTGGAGACTAAGGAAAAATAACAACTAAAGGCTACATGATGTGGGGATCCTGGATTGGCCCTGGGAACTTACAGAGGACAGTAGTGGAAAAAATGGTGAAATTTGAACATGGCCTCTAGTTTAATTAATTGAATTGTACAAATGTTAATTTCTTATTTTTGATAACTATAAGATGCTAGATGAAAGATATAAGGGAACTCTGCAATTTTTGCAACTTTTCTGTAAGTCTAAAATTAGTTCAAAATAAAAAGTTTAATAAAAATATGTTGACTTGAAGTAGAACTAAGAGTGAATAGGGAAGTTAAACTAAAACTGGCAGTCAGTTGTGCCACTCACTATCAGAATTTTTTTTTTTTTTTTGAGAAGGAGTTTAGCTTTTGTTGCCCAGGCTGGATTGCAGTGGCTCCGTCTTGGCTCACCACAATAGCCTCCTAGCTTCAAGTGATTTTACTGCTTCAACCTCCTCAGTAGCTGGGATTACAGGCATGCGCCACCACATCCAGCTAATTTTGTATTTTTAGTAGACACGGGATTTCTCCATGTTGGCCA